CAGACCGATTCCCAATTTGAATTGACTGCTTCCAATCTGGTTCGCCAAATTTTAAAACTTTGTTCCTGGCCATGCTTATTCTTTCTTGATCTTATTTCTTCTTGTTGGGAGCTTCTTGGAGATATTTGAAAGGAATAATTTGGACCTCGAAAAATTGACACATGGGCCTATTTCCCTTGAATATCTATTCTATACAATTAATTCAATTACATGAGAAAAAAGTTTATATAAGGTGTCGACTTTATACTGTACATGTAAGGTGCCTCTCAAAACTCATTAGAAAAGGTTGTTTTATCATTAGAAAACCCTCAAATTGATCATTTCCGCTTCGATATGTATGAATATGAAAAAAACATTGAATTTCAAGTATTAACAATAATACATCTTGTAGTACATTGTTTAGACCATCCATTATCAAGATATTTTAATGTTCATAGATTTGATAGATTTGCACTATTTTTGAAGCTTTCAATTTAATAGGGTGGAAAAATATATTTTTGGTTGATCATAAGAGTTTAGGCGCCTAAAACACATCTTATATGAGGTTTTGAGGTGCATCTTACTGTAATTGATTGTTTAAGGTTGACGATTCATACAAACCTCACCCATTACATAATATTCAATTGAAAAAGATTGTCAGTCTATTGTGAACGGATGGAGTGGTTGAGATGAAAAGAGGGTAGATGGATCATGGGATTGGCGCGGAGGAGCATTAAAATCTCTCTTAGGTAAACCTCCCTTGGTAACCAAATTTCAATCCTACCCATTTCTACGCTCGTGACTTCAGGTCTTCAGGCTTCGAGTACAACACTTGTGGTTAGCAAATATCATCCATAAGGCCCCGTTTGGATCCCTAAAATTTCAATTATGAGAAAAGTCAATCGCGGAATTGAAATTTCTTGGAAATATCAATCCTTTGTTTGAATCGCATCTATAGAAATCGAGAAAATGCAAATTCCTTGTTTGTATTGTCTGGAATATCTTTTTCTTATAAATGCAAATTCTCTTTCTCTCTCTTTAAAAATTTTGACATAGAATTTGAAATTTTGACATAGAATTTGAAATTTTGACATACACTATCTTTCAAAAACTTAAAATTTGAAATAGTTTCTCTTTCAAAAATTTTTGAGATAATTTCTCTCTAAAAGTTTTATATACTTTCTTTAAAATTTGATATAGTTTTTCTCTCTCTAAAATTTTGAGATACTTTCTCTTTCTAAAATTTAAATTTTGAGATGATTTCTCTCTATAAAATTTTTGTGATAGTTTCTCTTTCTAAACAATTTCAGATAGTTTCTCTTTCTAAACAATTTCAGGTAGTTTCTCTCTCTAAAATATGATATAGTTTCTTTCTCTAAAATTTTAAAGTACTTTATCTTTCTAAAACTTAAAATTCGAGATAGCTTCTTTCTAAAAAATTTAAGATAGTTTCTCTCTTTAAAAATTTTTAGGTACTTTCTCACTTTAAAATTTGATATAGTTACTCTCTCTAAAATTTTAATATGCTTTCTCTTTCTAAAACTTAAATTTTGAGATAGTTTCTCTCTAAAAATTTCAGTTAATTTCTCTCTCTAAAACTTAAAACTTGAGATAGTTTTTCTATCGAAAAATTTTCAAATAGTTTCTCTCTCTAAAAATTTTACGTACATTCTCTATCTAAAAATTTGATATACTTTCTCTCTCTAAAGTTTTAATACATTTTCTCTCTTTAAAACTGAAAATTTGAGATAGTTTCTCCTTCCAAAATTTTTGAGTAGTTTATCTCTCTAAAATTTTAATATACTTTCTCTCTCTAAAACTTAAAATTTGAGATAATTTCTCTATCGAATTTTTTTTATATAGTTTCTCTCTCTAAATATTTCACATACTTTATTATCTAAAATTTGATATAGTTTCTCTCTAAAGTTTTAAGATACTTTCTCTCTCTAAAACTTAAAATTTGAGATAGTTTCTCTCTCTAAAAATTTTATGGTAGTTTCTCTATCTAAAATTTGATAGTCTCTAATCTCTAAAATTTTAATATGCTCTCTCTCTAAAACTTAAAATTTGGGATAATTTCTCTCTCTAAATGTTTTGATATATTTCTCTCTAAAAAAATTTAAGTAGTTCCTCTCTCTAAAATTTAATTTAGTTTCTCTCTCTAAAATTTTAAAATACTTTCTCTTTCTAAAATTTAAGATTTGAGATAGTTTCTCTCTCTAAAAATTTGAGATAGTTTCTCTCACTAAACAAATTTGTATATTCTCTCTCTAAAAAAATTTGTATACTTTATCTCTAAAATTTGATATAGTTTTCCTTTCTAAAATTTTAATTTGTTTTCTCTCTCTAAAATTTGATATAGTATCTTTCTCTCGAATTTTAATATTTTTTTGTTATTCAACAGCAAAATGGATCATTTCCATGAGGGGAAAAGTATATATAGAGCCGAGGTTCTAAACAATCAAATTGGAGCCTTGCACAAAAATTTCACTAGAAGGGGTTGTTTTGATGTCCAAATATCCTCAAATTGATCATTTCACATCTTGATGCATGGGCATGAGAAAAAAATGGATTTCAAGTTTTTGAAATCGTATATTTTGTAAAACAGTTTTGGACCGTCAATTTTCAAGATTTTCAAGTTTTCATATATTTGTCGATCTACACTATTTTTGAAGCTATAAACTTTATAAATAAAAATGAAAATATATTTTAAGACTATCACAAAGATTTTTAGTATTGAAACCATATTCTTAACACTATTTGAGGTAAGCTCTAATTTGTTTCATTAGAGCCTAGGCTCTATACTAACCATACCCTTTTCATGAAATGCCAATTGCACCTATTTTGGTGCAATTGGGATTTCTAAAATTTAAGATTAAAATAAGTATTAAAGAATTCTGAAAAAATCTCAATTCTACCAGAAATATTAATTCTAAGCGAACCAAATAAGATGGACCCAGATTTTCCACTAAAAGTCTAAAGCCAATGAGTCAAACAGGCCCAAAGGTACACTGTAAAAATCAATGGTGAGTATCATAGTATACTGCCTCAACGAAGACCATCCAAAACTTACCAACAAAAAGAAAAAGCTCATCTAAAAACCCAGATAATACCATGGTGAAATAATACATAGAACAACCCAAGTAGCCACCCAAGTGGCCAAATCTTCAGATATTCAGTGATTTAAAAAATGGATCGGCAACCCTGACATCTCAAAAACTAGTCCGGATCGGTGTATTGGCTCCACTGTGAAAAGAACAGTGAATTGGTAATAAACCATGTGAACAATCAGAGCCAGCCCAAAGTCGATATGTATTATTGTTTTTCTATAGAAAATTACATATTACTGTATAAAACCATTGGTTCCTTTCTAGACTCCACTGTTTTTCTATACTTATGTGGAACCAGAACAAGAGGACTGATTCCTGAGTCATACCATTCCATGCAAACCCAACATTTTTTAAATGACTTTCAAAAAACAGCGCCATAATTTAATTGAAAAAAGAGGGGAAAGAAGTGGATTGCTGGAAAATTCAATTTGAGTAATGTGAGTAATGCGGGTAGTTACGCAACTACTTTTATTAGGGTTTTTTCTAGAGAGGGAAACCCAAATTACTAGGGTCTTTCTAGAGAGAGAAAGCGGGACAAAACTTGGCTGATATTTGAAGCCACCAGTTCTTATTCATTTCCACAAGTGGTCACAGTTGTAAGCTCGAGGAGGCGATATTCCCTCACATAAATAGAAAAGGGTTTTTGACACGCCTCCCTCTTTCTCTCTCTAACTTTATTTAGCTTTCCGCCGTGCACACGACGGTAATTGTGTATGGAAACATGCAACACGCCTATCCCAAAAGATTGTGAAGGATTAAATACGGGAAAATGGTTTGATAGGGCTGCAGCCCTATCAAAATAAGCAAAGCCTCACCCTATGACTGGTCAATGGCAATTCGAAGTATGAGTGAGGTTTGTATAAAGCTGAGGCTGTAAACAATCAAAGTAAAACCCATTTCCATACTAGAAATCTTGTGGCAGCCTTAAAATACATTTTCATATTTAATTATAAAATTTAAAGTTAAAAAAAATAGTATAGATCACGTAGATGTATAAAAACTTAAAAATTAACAATGCTTCACAAGATACACTATTTCTATAACTTAAAATCTATTTTCTATTGTTTTCTCATGTCCGTATATCTTGATGTCGAGATGATCAATTTGATGAGCATCAAAACAACTATTTCTAATGAAATTTTTGAAAAAAGCTCTAATTCAATTGTTCAAAGCCTCGGCTCTATATAAACTTTTCCTTTGAAGTACTAAAAAAACCATTATATCCCTCGTCTCACCTTCAACATAATCGTTGAGGCAAAAAAAAAAAAAAAAAATTTCAAGTCAATTGTAATAAATTATCAAGACCTCCATTTCATCCTAAGAAAAACTATATATAGATTCACAAGATCTATATCATTTTTTTATTTTTATTGTCAGTTATTTTCATTGCAAAAAGTGCTTTTTCCCTTCTTTTTTTTTCAGATAAGGATTTAAGGTGAGGCTTTACTTTGTTTTTGTAAGGCCGAGGCATTCTGACACTTCATCCTAAAATATGCAATGAATTATTGAGGTCGCTAAACTACAATTGGTGCGTTCCTAACGGCTTTTAATTGGAGACCGATAGAAGCCACTTTAAGAGTATCGAAGAGAGGGAGAACGAAGAGAGAGAAAAATATCAAAAAGAGAGAAGGATTCAAGAAAGAGGAAACTTCAATTGGAAAGAAAGGCAAGTCTAGAGAGAGAGGAAATAACGGACAGGAGAGACGGAAATTAATCTTTTTCCCAAAGTGCGGACAGGTTAAAAATTGAAACCAACATTAGGTCAAAGAAGGAAAAATGCTCTCCAAACGCTTACCGTTTCAACGGCCGCCCCTGATTACGACGCCTTTCGAATTCCCTCCCAGTCCAAGTAAAGCACAAAAATAACACCCCCAAAAGTGCAACAGTAGAGAGAGAAAGTTAAAGAGATGAAAGGGAAAAAAACCTAAATTCCCATTAATAACCACTAAAAATTAAGAAAAAAAAAGGGTGGGGGGGGCCTGTTGCAACAGCCCCTTTTTCACTCTAAATTATCAACCAAAAATCAATCGTTTACTACAAGACCTAAAAACCAAAAATAAAATAAAATAAAGTCATAAAAAAGAAAGGATTTTTTACAAAACGGCTTCCACAAAATTAAGCACGGCAAACCGCCTTCCACTAACTGAAACCCACTAAACTGCTCCCGGAAAACCGCCTCAACAAGTCTCAACCACCGACGTACCACTATCCCGCTTCTGCAGCTCCTTTTTCTTCCGCATTTCCAAGACCTTTCTATGACTATTGGAGTGAATCTCGCTCAGGAACGTTGGAGAACCCGCAGGTCTATATTCGGGCAACAAGCGGCCTGATTTGTACCTAACCCCACAAGCGTTGCAGAGAGTTTTCGAACCCAAAGGTCCGGCCCTCCATTGAGGTGTTTTCTGAACTAAACAATGGCTACACCGTCTTTGCTGGTTTTCCGGTGGCGGTTTCTTCTTTACAGGGCGGTTTTGCGTCTTTGATGGTGGTTTTTGGAGACAGTAAAAGAGGTCAGCGTTTCGGAATGGGTTTTTGAAGATTAGGCACGGCGATGAAGAAGAATCCTTCAGCCACCACACCCTGTCGCTTCTTAAGCGCTTGCTTCTGGCTCGGCCTGGAACTTGGGGTCTTTCAAAGGCGAGAGAGAGTTTCTCTGAGATTGGTTTTGGGGAAAAGCGGTTTTTCTCAGATGGGTTTCGAGGGACCATCGAACCAGAGGCGTACGGGAATTCGGAGAATGAGTCTTCAACGAAGAGAGAAAGCCACTCAAGCTCGGCTGCTGCTTCGCTCTGAGGAAAAAAAAAGACCATGAAAATATTTCATATAACCACCATTTTTCAAAACCACTAGCAAAAAGGTTCAGAAAATTGCCATTACTTGAAGGACTGAAGAAATTTATAGCCGAAAATGGTATTAAAAAACCACTAACCGGGACGCTTAAGTCAGTCGCAGAGGCTGGGTCGGCCTGGTAATCACGTGAACAAGAAGTGGTGGTCGTCGTAGTCGATGAAAGGGACGAAGAAGAAGGAGAGGTGTTCTGTTTCAGTGGTATTTCCTCTTGTTTTCAACCGCCTCGTTTTCCGTCTGGTTTTCTGTCTCCTCTCCGTTGCAAGAACCCCCGTTCTCCTCAATAGGGAAGTCCAATATGTCTTCAACGAAATCCTCCACACCCTGACACTCCATCTCCAACGGAAAACCACCCTGCATCACCGGAAAACCGCTTATTACCAAAACCCACGAAAACCCATTTCAACCGAAAAGCCAGAGAACCACCACTCATGAAACCCCATCATCCCCAAAACCAAAGACCACAAAACCTACCAAAAAAAATGCAGACAAAATAACCCCATTAACCATTACTTATACCTAAAATAGAATAAATAAAAACAAGGAAAAGAAGAAAACCAGAGAAAAAGAAACTCCATCAACCATTACTTTTATCCTAAAGCCAAAACCACAAAGCCAAAGAGATAAGCTCCGTTGGCCATCACTTTCACCTAAACCAAATTCCAGAAAACCCAGAAAAAGCCATTAAATCAAAGGAAAATCGCTAAAAACCATTATTATTACTTGGTTAAGAGGAGGAGGAGAAGGATGTGGGGTTGGAGAAGAGGGAGAAATGTTAAATTGAGTTGGGGTTTGGTAGAAGGGCATTGATGTGGGTTTCAGACTCCTGGTTTAAAAAATCCTTCCAACTTGCGTCCAACCTTTTTCTCCTTTTCCAAGCTCGAAAAAAAGGAAATGAAAATTTCAAATTTATTTTGTTTTTATATATATGGGCGTGGACAGTATCTACGGTCCACCAGATTTTGAATTTGTCCTTTAAAAACAGGGGACGGACAATCCTGCCCTTGAAACCGTCGTCTAATTTCGTCTGTGTCCTCTGCTTTTGCTTGCTACTTTAGGGGGAATTCCGGAAATGACCCCTGAAAATGACGGATTTAGCCCGGCTCGGCGTGACTCCTAAGCCCAAAAAGCCGCAATCATCGGCAATGATTTCACCATCGCCCCTCACTCTCTCTTTTTCTCTCTCTAGACGTCTCACTCTCTCTCCTTTTCTCTTTCTCTCTAGACGGCCTCACTCTCTCTCTTCCCCCTCTCATGCGCCGCTTTGTATTTTCTCTCCCTCTGAAGTCCTCACTCTCTCTCTAGAGAGTCATTTTTTTTTTTTCCCCTCTCTCTAGAGCTCTCACTTTCTCCGTCTCCTCTCTCTCTCTAACGAAGCCAGCTCTCACTCGAATGGATTTTTGATGGTTTGCCGTTATGTCGTGGTTCATTTACTCGTGGGTGGGAGGAGTTAACCACCACTACGCTCTGTAACCCGCATATTTCACAAGGACAAAAATACCCTGGATAGTGATACATAATATCGGAGCTTGCCCTTGAATGTGTCCCAGCTTAGCAGGCTTCACTTTCTAAATTTAATCATTTGATACTTTCTCCTAAATTCCCCACGAATTTCATGTATCCAAATCTTTTGTCAAATGGCTATTAAATTTTATGTTTTGATAATAAAAAATTTAGTGAGGGAATCCTAGGGGCATTTTCGACAAGAGTGGATAAGGTTGGTTGGATAATCCTCCATTAGCATTAAATTAAAGAAAAGGAGAAATCTCCTTTATGGGGTGTTTCTCTCTCTAAAAACGACACACGCGTCTCTGTTTCTCTCTACGACTCCTTTTAACGGGTGCGCTCATATTTAGGGAACAAGACGAGAAGCCAAACGCCCATAAATTACGCAAATGCATAAACCCCCAGTAATTAACAGACGCAAGGCAAATGGCCCACGCTACATGTCGATCTCGTATCAGGGATATTTCGGTCATTTTTATACCCCAACCCCTTTTCGTTACGTTCGAGGGGACATGGGCCAGCTATTTTTGGTAATTTGATTTGAAGCCCGGGGGCGTTTAGGGAATTCGCGGCATGCTTTAAACATTTTTACCGCGTCGCAGGGCTGGGCCGACACATACGCGACACGCGTGTGGCTCTGTCCTCATTGAAGTGCCCTGGACACTCGCCGAAACTATCTCCGAAACATTTTTGTTTCGGAACATTTCTGAATAGTTTCTGAGAAAACTATCCGAAAGATGAGATATTGCGAGAAGCCCGAAGCGGTTAATTTACCGGGCACCGACCGTTCGACTCAGGTAATTTAGAGCGTGGGGTGATTCACACGTGTGCGAGTCTCGTTCGTAGATTTCGCCGTTAGGTTTGCGGTTACCGTTAGTTTTGAAACGGTCCCGATGGCGGGGAAAAGGGGTTTTGAATTTCTGCCGTTTGGGCCGGCTCTAGGTCGTTTTCGAGGCTTGGTAGTGTCAAGCCGATCGACACGTGTCTTTTCCTGATTCGGCTCTTCAAGAATGCGTCAAGGATGGCACGTGGACATGGAGGCTTGGGGAGCGCCAATAGTTTCCCGAAAGATTGATTGAAAAAGCTAACTGTCGAAGATTTCGGGGCGGCCACGATAACATTTCCGAAATATTTATTTCGTTTCGCAATGGAATGAACAAGGGCAGGGGCCACCTCTCCCACTTCGTTGTCGGATAAGATCAAGGTCCATGACGACATTGGGATGGCATGCGCCAGGAGCATCTGACCCGTTGTTTCATCCGATGGATGGTCTTGATCGAACACAAGTGGGTGCGGCCTTCTGATAAGCTGCCATAATTAATCTGCGGCTCAAATGAGCCAAGCTTGTGAGAATTGTAATCTGCACGTGACACGTTCCAAAAAAGGGTGGGGAAAAGACCACAAGACGAGCCAATCCAATTTGGGTTCGGATGAGCAAATCTAATTAAAGCATGTTTACATGATAGTTAATCCTATCAAGAATTGATTATTTTATCTAAAATTAATATATTATGCATAATATTATTTGGGTGAGGTTTGTATAAGCTGTCAACCTGGTTCTATTGAAGTAAGGTGCACTTTAACGCTGTTCTGAAAATGTAATTTTGGCACTGTAAAGTCTTGTCATAATATGAAAAATTATTGCTGCCCCGTATCATGAAATTTAAAGTTCGAGGAATTGTGAAGATCAAGTTGATATGTGAACGCTTGACAAATTTGAAAATAGATGGTCCATATAAGTTAGGAGACGAACTATATTTAGGACTAAAAATCATCTTTTATTTTTTACATCTATGAATCTCGAGGTTGAGATGATCGATTTGAGTGGTCTAAAGCAAAGGAAAAACCTTTTCCAATGGATTTTTTAGGTGCTCCTTACTTATACAGTATAAGGTTGACACCTTATATAAACTTTTTCTATATTATTTTGCTAGTGGTTTGGTACATACCTTGTATTATGAATAATATTATATAATTACTTAACTTTTTCTTTGATTTTTAGATAATTTTTGTTATTTTCTGGTTAATAACACATGATTTTAGCAAATTACTTGAATGAAGTAAAAAACAACTTTTCAAAAAGATGAATTCACGTGTAAAACTGTTTATAAGTTTATCTTAGATAAGTTTATGAAAGGCCCAGCCAAACAATATATGATTCACTATCATGATTAATTTTATCGAAATAGTGAGTTATTAGTGATAACAAGTACATCCATACCGGCCCTTGGGGAGTAAATGATCCTTAGAATTATTTGAGTAAAGTTCATCCCAACGATCACTACATTATTCTGAGCCATCAAGATGATCAATCCGACAATCAAGATCGTTTCAGACCAATGAAATGATCAACTAGATTGAGTACAGCGATCCGTAACACCAATGAACCCGGCTCACTAGATTTTTATTTTTATTTTCTGAAAAGAAAAACTCACAAATGCTCTTATATATCCAATGCACTATTCCATTTATTTCTAAGATGTATTGGCTATCTAATCCCAACTACTATATGGGGCCATCAAAATCTAAATAGGTAGCCCCACATAGTTAGTTGAAATCCGCTTAATCAATAGAGATGATGATGTCATCCACCAAATGGCACAGACTCAATGGGTGTGCTACCTTAGAGCCAACTTTGAATGAAAGAGGGAATCAATGAAGAGACCATGGAGGGGACCTCTTGTTTTTTATGCTTCTCCATTTTTTAGACTTCAATGGCACAGACTCAATGGGTGTGCTACCTTAGAGCCAACTTTGAATGAAAGAGGGAATCAATGAAGAGACCATGGAGGGGACCTCTTGTTTTTCATGCTTCTCCATTTTTTAGACTTCATTGTAGCCCAAATCCAATGCAACATCACATTTGGGGTTTAAAGCATGGTTTATTATTGCATCAACTGTGCATGTGAGGTGATCGCAAAAGGGACGGTACGTTATAGGTGTCTAAGTGAACAAATGTGGTTAGCTTGTAGAGGCCTTTGTGGAGGATGTCTGTGGTAGTTTATCACAGTTTAGTTGGGGTTTTGCAGCAACTGGAGCTGTAGGATCCTTTCAAGGTTAGGTTTATGATGTAATTGGTATGATGCTACATGATCTTCTCGAGGTTAGGGTTATGTTGTACTTGGTAGTTGTAGTTGGTCATCCCTGGATGGGAGAAGTAACTTTGTATTTCTCTCTATGTTCCTCTTTCTTTTTGTACTTTGGAGCTTTGCTCCCTATGTTAATGAAAGTAAAATCACGTCTTTGACTCAATAATAGGGCGTGGTTTGTATAGAGCCAAGGCTCTAAACAATCAAAGTAAAGCAGACCTTCATATAGTGTCGAGAAATGTAGTTTCAATACTAGAAATTTTTGTGAAAGCCTTAAAATATATTTTTATCTTTAATTATAAAATTTAAAGCTTCAAAAATAGTGTAGATCAAGCAGATCTATGTATAGTTCAAAATTGATGGTCTAAAAATGCCTTACAAGATGCACTATTTCCAAAACTTGAAATTCATTTTTTTCTCATGTCCCTACATCTTGATTACAAGGTGATCAATTGGAGGATATTTAGGCATCAAAACAACCTCTTCTAATCTAACAAATAGCTTTAGTGAATGGATGTCACAAGTTAGCTCTAATTGTCCCATCTTGATTACACGTCTCAAAGTATTTTATTTTGAATGTCATATTAACATAAAATTTTAGTCTAAGAAGGATGAGAACCTTAAACTTTCTCTTAACCCGTCTCAAGCCCGAGAGTAAAGGGGGTAGTTTGTGTTAAGTAGGCAACCAACATAAAATTTTGCTAAAACTTAACATGATTATGAAATCTACAATATCTATTTATACTAGGGTGTTCTAAACAAGCAATGCGTTGTTAGCTAGGGCGATCCCCAAAAGCAACGTGCCGCAGCTCTGCCGGTTGTGGTAAAAAATAGGCAAAGGTTCCTACGACATTATGGATGAATGCAGGTAAAGAAGCTAGTCCAAGAAAATAGGATTCGTCTAGCCAAATGGAATGTAGGAACGCTTACAAGTAAGAGTATGGAGTTAGTGGAAACAATGAGACAAAGGAGAGTAAACATAACTTGTCTACACAAAATTAAGTGGAAAGAAGAAAAGCCAAGGACATAGATGAGTATAAACTTTGGTACACAAAAAAGGATAATAATGGAAATAACATGGGCATGATAGTAGACAAAGATTTAAAAGATAAAGTAATTAATATCAAGAGAGTAGGTGATTGGCTCCTTTTAATTAAACTTGTACTAGGAAAAAAGATAATTAATATAATTAGTGCTTATGCACCATAAGTAGGACTTTAAGATAGAATTAACAGACAATTTTGAGAGGATATGGATGGATCAGTGCCAAACATACTGAATGAAGAGAGGACCTTTTTAGGAAGGAACTTAA